ATACTGATCTGTCAGGTTTACCCTAGGAATCGCTCCTCTGGATGAGGGGTGCTTCCTGCTCTCTCCCAGCGCCCCGGCGTGGCCATCACAGCACTTACGCCGGTTTACAGAGCTGGGGGAACAACAGCAAGCACACACACGGAGTGTTTATTGTTGCCCACGCACCATTCCGAGAGCTCTGCTATATTAAATCACTCAATCTGGACAGCAATTTTATGATATAGATGCCATTAATATCCTTATTTTTAACAATAAGCAAATTGAGACCCAGAGAGGTGAAGTGATTTGCCAAGAGTTCAGCGTGTGAGTGGAGGAGCTCAGAGTTCCACCCAGCAGGTGCCCTGGACTCGGCACTGTAACCTTCTCCTGCTAACATCACCTGCATCCCCCATGGCAGTGTACGCCCTGCTTCCCAGACCACCCGGCGCAGGGTTTGCAGGTAGTACGGATTGACCATGAAATGTTTGAGTGAATGAATGACCGCATTCATGAATATCACCCAAGTGAGCATCTGTAGTGCCAAAATACTACTTCTCCTCTGCTAATGAGGCAGCCCCCTCCCCTCCCTTCTACTCCAGCTTCCCTTGGGTTCTCTTCAACTCACAAGAAGTTACTGCTCTGGGTGGGAGGGAGTGTATCATTAGCCGCCCAGAGCAAGAATGCACATGACAGTGGCCGCCCCCACTTCCCTGTGGTATCGGTATCGGCACAAGGATGAGCTCTAGAGAAATGCTCCTTCCACTCTCGCTCAAACCCAGTAGGGCAGACCACATGGGGGGTCCCTGAGCTGGGTCAGCAGGCAGGGCTTTAGGGCAGCTGTCTGTCTGAGACCAAGGTTAGCTTTTCAGGGGATGAGGGGTGGGGAGTGGACTGGGGATCTGTCACTAAGCCCCCGGTTCTGGCCTGGCAGCGATCATTAACTTGACAGCGTCCAAGGCCGGAATAGGCGGAGAAGGCAGGTCACCTTGTCCGGCCACCAGCAGTTTAGCTAATGGGGCGTGGAAGATCTAAATTGGGCGATGGTTAAAAGGTAATAAAAAGGTCCAGGTCAGGGGTTAGAGGCCTCTGGGAGCTACTTGACTTCACTCTCTGCTTTGGTGACCAGATTTGTATTCCTGCGCAGCTGTCAGGCAATATTCGGCCGCAGAGAGACGGTGTGTTTGTGAGCGTCCTCACTACTGGAAAGAGACAGGACAGGGCAGCTCTGTGTTACCCATCGCTGTGGTGGGAGCAGCACGGACCGGGAGAGGACAGCTCCAGATCAGACTGTGGCTGTGTCACCGCGACGGTGCCATCGAACCCCTTTCAGTCTGTTTCTCAGCTATAAAAACGGAATAGTGTATTTATCCATCAGGGGGTCGTAATGGTTTTAAAAAGTGCCTTGCTCAATGGCTGTCACATAACAAGTATATATGGTGTCCTTTTACTCTATTTATTTTATAGTTAAATCCTGTACCTGGGTCTAGGGGCTTCATAGCTATTTGTTATCGGATGCACGAAAGAAAGAGGGGCCAGGCCAGTTCTGGCAAATTGAAGTGTTTCTAATCGAATTAGAAACATTCATTTTACGCTGCCGTGCGTGCAGCACCCACGCTTGCTTCAGACCTCACCTGTGATGTTCTCTCTACTAGAAACGCCATAATATGCGTGGTCTGGTGGGCGACCTGCTTTACGATTCTGCTTATGTGTCGCTTATTCTGAGAAACCTTTTGCTTTTCAGTCCTTTGAATTCACTGTGTCTCCTTCCCAGAGGTGTGCCACATTGAACCTTCTGGAAGTTTTAGTTTGAATCTTCAACTTGGGGGAAGGACGAGCCAGCCTCCACAGGTTTAAGCCGACGTCACTCTAATGTCAAAGCATCTCCATTCCCCCGGATTCCATTTTTTTTGCAGATGGTGAGCTTGGGGAGGATTAGAAGTGCTCGATTAGACTGTACAAATCAGCATCTTTATTGGCTGTATCGGTTCTAGCGACAGTGGAGATCGATGGGCTGTTCCTTTTGGTTACCAAACCCAGGAAGAGGGGAGGGGGCCTGCTCAGGAGACACGCCCGCCCGAAAAGGACAGGCCAGCCTTGCTCAGGGAGCCAGGGCTGGTCCCCGCAGCCTCCAGCTTCGTGCAGAACGCCAGCTAAGAAACAACCAGGGCCCGGCCTTTAGAAGTCAATGGAGTAAGTAAGCTGGAAAAGGGTGAAGAGAAAAAGCCAGGGAACGTGTAAGTAGAGGATTATATGGAGCCATTTAAAATGACAAAAAGCAAGAGGAACAGAGCGGCTGATGGAATCTGGCCCCGTGGCCTTGCCAAGCCAGGCCTGAGAAGCGCCGTGTAGAAGCGCTCCCTTTATGTCCCCTGAAGCACTCGGGGTGCTTCCCAGCCAGATTCTCAGGCTCTTTCTATGGCGCTTACAAATGAAAGACTATAGCGGCACTGATGCGGTCCTCCCCTTCTCATTCAGCATCCCCTTCACAGCCTCATGAGATAAATCTCTGACTCAAATGAAATTGTTAAAAAAGAAAATGGCAAAAAAAAAAAAGTGCTGTTGGGGCAGGAGATGCTGACTAGTTCCTTTTTTTTCTTTCTCACAAAACAAGGAGCATTTCTCTAAAGAGTAGAGTAAACGGTGTTTATTTTTTTGTTGAATTTTTCAATCAAAGGGAATTGTTTAATTAAAAAAAAAACGTATCCCCTTTCACTTTAAATACTACAGACAACCTCATTTTATCTCAGCAGACACCTAGCAACAAAACACGGGACCCACCAGAGAAAACTGGGCAAAGAAAAGCATCAGAAATTCAGGTCAACTATGGAAGAATTACTGTTAGCTGGCAGCTCTCAATTCTAAACAGAAGTGTCCGGGACCTATTGGGTTGGACAAAAGTGTCTTAGAACTGGGGATATGGGAAAGTTGGACTCCTTTGAATTCTACCCCAGTTGTTTTCCGTGGAGGGAAATGAAAGTCAATGCATCAAATGAAGACCCAAAGAAACATTTAAAAACGTGTTTGACTAGTATTCAGTATGTGAGATTATTAAGCAATAATAACTTGTCCTCCTAGTTAACCTTGTCCTGGAATATATATAGGTTATTTGTAGCCGCCACTGCTATAATATTTTCTGAAGGATGCCAAGCTGTGTGCAAGATCTTTTTGCTAAAGTCCAGGCTGTCGACGCTGATCTCATCTTTCCTCCGCTTGCCCCCCACGCACACTTTTCGCGGTTTCAGGATAGCCCGGGGTTTGCTGTTTTCCCTCGAGGCCTCCAGGGTGACATCACGCTTGGTGTTTCGGTCAAACATCCTGAAGAAGTTGTTGTAGGAGCCGGTCATGATGACGCTGAAAGGCAGAGAGGAAACGGTGCAACTGAGTGCTGTGGGGAAAGGGCCGTCACACGTCCCCACGGTGCCTTTGTAAAGCACGCCCCGCCACTCTGTGGCCTGCTGATGGCACCGTACATTTTATTAAAAACAAACACCCAAACAGGCTCGCTCTAGAGTGCGACTGATGTCCTTCGCAGTCGCCAAGAGCAACAAGCCTTGGACTCGGAAATGAGGATCGTGATAACCTTCCTTGTTAATTACTGCTGTTCCCTAGATTCCTTTCTGTTCTGGGGCTCAGTCAGTGAGTCACAGGGTTGTGGGGCTCAGGACTGTGAGGCTGGAGAAGGTGAGGAAGGCAGGAGCACTTTGAAACCAGGAAGCACTGTGCATATTTAAAGCTGACCTCGAAGGCCCTCCCCAGCTGTGGGGCGTTAGGATGGGCTGGTGAGCTGCTTGCGTGGACAAACAAGGTGGACAGTGGCACCAAACAGGGCCCAGTAAGTGGCGGAGTCCCATTTTCTAACATTTTTATGCTGTTTATGTAAAATAACATCCTGTTATTTAATCCATGGTCAGGATTAAATAACATAATGTGTGTAGTAGGTGCTTAATAAGTGTAGTTTTTGAATCTAGGCTAAGATAGAGGAGAAATGAGAGCAATGACAATACACAATAATATGTACAATTAATAAATACATTATCTATAAATAAGTAATAAAATAACAGGGCTGGCTAGCTTCTTTCCCCTCTAGGAGCTTTTGTTCATATATCACAATTGCTTTGCGCCCCCCTCTCCCCGTCCTATGCCAGTTGGATGGTCTGACTTGGGTCCTCTGCCACAGGGTGATTTCTTCCAGGCTACGTGGAGGGCGCTCTGGTTCATTGGCTAAGAAGGCCGGACAAGGGACAGGGACAGCTCCCGCTCACTAAAGGCGCGACTCTCCGAGTGCTTTGCCACCATCGATTTCTGTGCTTCTAGGCCAGTGATGGCGAACCTATGACACGTGTACTCATTTTTTTGGTTGGTTTATCTTTGTTAAATGGCATTTAAATATATAAAATAAATATCAAAAATACAAGTCTTTGTTTTACTATGGTTGCAAAGATCAAAAAATTTCTATATGTGCCATGGCACCAGAGTTAAGTTAGGGTTTTTCAAAATGCTGACACGCCGAGCTCAAAAGGTTTGCCATCACTGTTCTAGGCAATACTGTAGTGCTGGTGCCGCCTTCACCAGGGACAGACCCTGGAAGCCTGAGCCAAGTTCTCCTGGAACTCAGAGATTCATCTGTATTTGTCAAACTAAAAATGAACTATGGGGAGGTAATATGAAGCATTGTTGAAATCAAAGGCCTTAAAACAGTAATAAATCACGTAGAGGGAATGTGATAAATGGGGCCAGCTAGCATTCAGCTAATGAGCCGCCGGGGCCTTTGGCCAAGTCTACACTAGCAGCTTCAAGAAATAATTTTCGATCTAGAAAGTTTGCAGTCATGTGAACCGTTTGTGCTGGGATCTGAGGGAGGACCATTAGTGCTCTCCATTTCCAGCATGCTGGCCTGGCCCTGCGGGGGGGTAGGGGGGGTAGGGGGGGTCTTGTGTGTAAAAGATCAGATTTTCTCATTGATGTCAAAGAGTCACCTGCACTGGTCCTGAAAGAGGAGTCAAGGGTCTCACTACATCCTTCCCTTCTTCCCAGGCCTGCCCCAGGGGCATCCGGTGACCCACACGAGGCATCCCTGCCCGGCCTTGGGACCTGACATTGACATCCATGGAAGAGAAACCACCCAGGCCTTCGCCAGGAGGGGGCCGGCCTTTGGGAGGCTCCCGGCCACTCAGCCTTTCTTACCTGTCTGACCCATTCCACACGCACTCGAATTTATCAAAAATGCAGTCGTTTTCGTAGAGGGAGCACAATTTGCTGCGGAGGTAGTCATGAACCTGAGGAAGAAATACATCAACAGAGTCAATTATTTTAAAAAAGGATGATGTCTGTGAATACCTCCTCTGTTGATGTGAGCTGTTAATTCTTTTGGTGTAAACGGGCCTCGATCCAGGTGGTCCCGGCCTGAAACCAGGCACGGCTCTTTCCAGCTGCGGGGCATTAGGATGGGCTGCTCATGTGGCTCGATGGATCAAACAAGCTTGGTGGGTGGGCAGTGGCACCCAACAGGGCCCAGTAGTAAGGAGCGGTGATGATAATAATAGGCGTACATAGTATGTTACTTGTTATTAGCCAGGTGCTTTAGCCATAAAATCTCATCTCAGGATGTAGGGACCATCATTCACTTCATTTTAATGAAGTGCAGGGTATGACATCATGTGTCCAAGATCACACAGGAAAGAACATGACAGGATGGGAACTGAACCCCTGTATTCGGGTTCCAGGGCACCCACTCTCTGCTCTAGCAATCTGCCTCCCCCACTCGCTCTGCCTCATTAGCCTCACCGTACTACAGTACACGGAATCTCAGTCCCACACAGAAGCCGCGATAATGACCTGAGATGAGGCCAACGGGGAGACAGACCTGGGTGAAGGTAGAAGGATGGTAGGAAAAGCATGTGTCACTGTGTTCAGATTTAGAGTGATGGTTCATTCTCTCTTGTCTTGCAGCCTGGGCCCCTCGCCTCTCCTGAGTCCAGAGTCCAGCGGGATGCTGACCTCAGGCGCAGCTGTGTGCTGAGTACTGGACAAAGGACTGAGGTAAGATTCAGCCCATGTGGCCTTACACGTTTTGGGTATTTACAAGCTCGCTGAGTCATGGGACAGTGTATTGCTAACTGCAAATCAATTTCCTCCACCGTGGCTCTGTTGTTCCCCCAAGGTTCTGGGCCTTGCCAGGGTGTCTGCTCCAGGGCTGAGGGTGGAGAAGGGGGATGCAAGAATGAGACTTGTGTTCTGTACTTGGTATCTCTGCTGCAAATTAACTCATTCTCTCCCTTTGAAGGGGCTCAGAAGGCCATGTCTGTTTGTAGGGATGAAAATCTTGAGTGATTGTTAAGAATTTTGAGCATAAAACCAGAAGGGCGTCCGAGGGCAAAAGAGGGCTGATTCTGGGTATTGACCAGGGCCTGGCAAACTTTTTACAATATAAAGGGCCATATGGCCTCTGCTGCAACCACTCAGCTCTGCCCCTGTAATGCAAAAGTAGCCACAGGCAATACATAAACAAATGAGCAGGGAAGTGTTCCAGTAAAACTTTATTTATAACATCAGGTGGCAGACAGGATTGGTTTCTGGGCCACACTTCGACTGTTCTCCCCATTCCCTCAAAGCACCACAGACTACTTTCTATGAAGAAGGTGATGGTGGGGTTAAGGGACTCAGCATGGGTCTCGTTTCTAGAAAGTGTTGATTCTGGCCATCATCACGGACTTGCTTCTGTGCTGGGTGTAATGCGTGGGGGAGGGAGAGGAGTTGGGCTGGGAGTGAGTCCAGGGGGCAATGGGAGCCAGATCTCTGATCCCGACGCTCCAGCTCTCCTGCTGTTGGAGGGGAAAGATGAGCAAAACAGACCCTTAGCCTTCTCTCCTCCTCCCTCTTATCTGGTATGGAGCACGTTTAAGGCCAGGCACAGAGGTGAGTATTCTGAGATGGGGAAATAAGTTTTGCAAACCCTTGGTTAAGCAGGTTTGTATAATGCAGCACTTCTCAGAGTCCCACAGTAGTTAAAGAAATCGTAACGTTATAAAGAAGGGGATAGAATATTCTTTTGCTTCACTATGATCATCCAACTTCCTTCCTTTGGAAGGAGAAGTAATCAACTATTATCTTTAAAATAATTAGGATTTTGATAGGGAGGGAGGGGATAGAGCAGTAAGGTTTAGAAAGAGGGTGGTGGAATGCCTTTTCAGGCCTGACCCAGGCTGTCCTCTCCTTGATGAACCTTTCCTGATCCTTCACCTTTGCTTATAGAAACAGCACAGGTGAGTATTAAGTGTCAGGATGTGTGAGCTTTGGAAGTATGGGCCCTTTAGTGGGAACCACACCACCAGTAACTCAATTTTTAAATTTATTTTTCTGTTACAGTTGACATGCAATATTATATTAGTTTCAAATGTGTGAGCTTTGGAAGGATGGGCCCATTAGTGGGAACCACACCACCAGTAACTCAATAAATAATTTTTAAATTTATTTTTCTGGTACAGTTGACATGCAATATTATATTAGTTTCAGGTGTGCAACATAGTGATTATTCATTTAAATGAATTATAATGTGATCACCCTAATAAGACTAGTAACCATCTGCCACTATGCACAGTTATTACAATGTTATTGACTATATTCCCTATGCTGTATTTTACATCCAGTGACCATTATTATAACTGCCTATTTGTAATTCTCAATTCCTTCACCATTTTCACCCATGATTATAATCCCCCCTCCCAATTTTAGCAACCATCAATTTGTTGTCTACAT